CTTTCTAAGCCTATAACTTTCTTACTAGATGAGCTAGCGGGGTCAATCAAAAGCCATTTTGTAGAGCGTCTTTTACTGCATCTTTTCTTTATAGAGTCAAATTTTCAACCGCGCGATTTACAAAAGAAAAATTTATTATACAAATCGTTACAGAACTTCTGGAACACCCTTTATACCACAAGATGCAGCGTGAAAAACTCTGCACTGTACAAAGGACAGCTTCTTTTATAATTGCACTTTTTGTTTTAAAAATGGATAAAATTCTGAGCCATTAATTTTTTGGTAGACAATGAATTCCTTTTCTTATGTTATCAATTAATGAATCGTATTTTTTTTATTTTATCTCATTGTTCAACCATCAAATATGACTTTCGATACAACTCATTAACCAAAACAATAAGAAAAACAATTGATTATGTAACAAGAAAGGATCTTGTTCGCCGTGCCAAAAATTAGTCGAACACAAATTTGTCCATTTTGGAAACAAAAAGTGTAATTATAAAATAAGCTGTCCTTTGTAGCTTGTAGAGCTTTTCACGCTGCATCTTGTAGCATACATTGTTGTATTAGGTAATGAGAAAATGAATCAGAAACAAGTACTTTTTTTGTCCGAGAGGAGACTCCAGATATTAAAGTATGTCCAGGTAATATCATAAATTTTTTAATTTCTTATTGATATAGCATACATATACAATTTAATCAAATCAGAAATAAATTCTTTGTCAAAAATAAGATTAACTGAGAAGGACAGAAAGTACTATTTTACTTTTCTTATCTTCATTCTAACTTATTTTTAGGAATCTTCGTTATAAAATACTTCAACATACTTACTGATATACATAAGTACAGGTAATGGTTTTATGTTAGCTGCTATATAAAATATATAACCGATTTCACCGAGTATAATAGTCCACTTAAGACCAAATAAATCCATGCAAACACCGGTAAGAGCGATCGAACTAAACTAATAAAACATAAAAAAAAAATCATTTTCTATTAATTTTCAATTTAATGAATTTACTATTAAAAATGCATAAGTTATAATAAGAGAATTAACTCCAACATTATTTTTAACATTTAAACTTGATTGAAGTAGAACCATACCATTATAAGCTGTAAATAGGAGAACAAAAGCTAATGAAAGTAAAACTAAATTTTTATAAATTTTAGCAATTGGAAATGTTGGTATTGTGTCATTTGGAATAGATTTTTCATTTTCATTTTCATTTGATGAAATTTTTAATGGATTCATCGACATGATACCCATTTTACTAGCAGCATTTGTTTGATCTTCGCTAGTTGAACTAATAAAAGATAATTTTCGAGGTATATTTGTCAGTTCATCTGGATCATTTTCGGCCATTTTAAGTCTTTCTTTTTCTTTTTTTATTTACTGACAGACGACAAAAAGAAAAAGTGATGAGTGTGCTTCTGATAAAGTTTCAGGAAGGAGAAAAAAAGGTGAATGTTGATACTATTGCGTTAGACGGGTATGTCGTTAATAAGAAAAAAAAAAGTACTAAAACGAGTATATTTCTTTGATCTTACGATTCAAATTTTTCAAGACTCTCAACTTAATCGTAAAATGAACAATTCAATATATTTTTTCGTCTCATGATACTTTTTTTAAAACTAAACCATAGATATATACATAAGTATCATTGGATTAGGGTTGTGTATACATGACATATCAAGGTACGTGATAAATGAAAAGAAGACATTTTTGTTGAAGATATTTTTATCAGTATTTGAGTACTGAAAGGTTAGAGTATTTGAATGAAATATTATGATCTTTTTTCTTTAGAACCCAGAGAATAATACAGATAATCATGTGTTTTTGACATAAAATAAAGTTTAAAAATATTATACAATTATTTTTTTATTTTTTAAGAAGGAAGTACAGAAGTTTACGAAAAAATGATAATAGTTTTTTCAGATTCTTTTAAGAGAATTATTATTTTCTTTTCTTTATTCATTGACTATAATACCAATGTTACCAGTAAGACAAGAACGATTATGCACGAGCATTTCCTTGCTATGAAAATTCTTACAAGAACTTTGAATAAAATAACGAATTACAATGATATGATAAGTTAATTTATTGTGCGAAAATGATCTTAATCATAAATGGATTGATTTTATTATTCTAATATAATAATAAGTGAGATTCGATGAACCACATATATATATATAAGCCCCAAAGACTAACTGAATGACTTCATAAAAAAGCAAATCATGTCATTTACTATATCAAAAACCTCTAAAAAAGCATTTTTATTAATATATAGCAACTATTCATATATAGTTGACCGGAAAAGTAGTACGAACATTCTTTGAACATATGAATTCTCTAGAAAATATGCCCACAATACACGATTAGAACATGAGTGTGGATAAAGAGTTACAGTTTTCATGAACAAGTACCCCAGTGAATAATCGTCCTGTTTGCTCTTTCTCTGATGTAAATTTATTTGTTAATTAGTAATCATAAATATGTCAAGCAGTTAACAGATTGCAATACTTTCAAATATATATTAGTACTTATGATGTTGATCGAAACAATAATTTCTTTTGGTGGATTAAAATCTATTTTCAGTCACTTCGAATATTAATCAAATCTAGCTATTCAGCTAATTAATTATTTAAAACCTCAAGTTGCGCGAACGTTGTGCTACATGAACTTAATGCCCGATTGCAAATGTGGTGGTCACTCGATTGAATGGGTGAAATTGTACAAGAATTTAAGTCACTGAATAACGACAGAACTCGACTGGAGACAGATTATTGGTCTTACTCAAATTGAAACTTGTCTTTTTACAGATGCTCAATGAACTATGTTATCTATATCGGACGAAGTTGCTAAAGAAACTTGCTAATACTTTAGACGGTTATCTGTTGCTCGAGCAAATCTACTTAAATATGAATTGTTCCGAGTGGTAAGAAAGGAAAAGATCGATTAGTCTCATATTTAGATGCATATTCTTCATATCTTAAACTGATTATCAAATTATGACTCATCAGATTCAGTAGAAATTATTAGTATAGATGATTTCAGATGTTACATTGGATTTTCAGAGACATAAATAGCGCAGTTAGTCTTTTTTTTGTTTTGAGACAGTCTCATTATCAATTGTCTTTTGTTTTATTGTTCTTTAAGGATGCTAATTCCTGTCGCTTTTTCTCTTTTTTTTTTAATACATAACTCTCACGGGTACATTTGTTGTCGGATAGCAGCCTCTTTAAAACCGATAAGGTTAGAGGATTAAAACAAAGCAAATACTTATATATATATATGTACGTATATAATAACTTCCTCGTTGATAATTTCAATGTGACATGATGAAATATAGATGATAAAGAGAAATCTTTCATATCGATTTTTCTAACAATCGTTTTTTAGTTAACTAAATATGAGATTATAAAAAAAGATACTGTCCTAAGATAACAATTAGTGTGCTTGCGTTTCTCGTCTCTGTTTATTATGGTTATAAGCAATACAGACATTGCTAAATTGTTGTTGATGATTGGTAAGTACATAGATAATGTTAAAAGTAGACTGCCAATATTTTAGTCAAATTCTTCGAAGAAACGAGACACTTGTTTTTGAAAATTGATGATTTGAAATTTAACTGCTCTTAAAGAACATTTAGAAATACCATTTTCATAGCGTTCAACATAATTCATTTTTTTCCTGAATTCTTTTTCTTTCGTATTGGTATTTTGAGAGTATGGTTGAGACAGGTTCACACATTTCTCATGATTTTCTTGCCATCAAAAAGATACAGTATTATTATTCAAGTTTGGTTTAAGTATTGATCTTAGAATGTGTAAAACACTTTAATCAATTGTTTATTGTCGTAGTTTGAGTTTCGTCAGTTAGGATTGAAAAAATTAATATAAAAGATATTAATTATTATATCAGTCGATTTTTGTTCGAGTAACTCAAAAAGAGCGATGCATGGACATTCTGCGAAATTGATTTCTATTAAAAGACAAATAAAGCTCGTCAATACGAGTCGCTTGATCGTCGACTGAATGTTCAGCTCTTTCTGTACAACTGACTGTTTTAAAAGTCTAATCAACATTAATATCAAATGTATGCACACAGTTGAGCGTGAGTATCAGTTTAAGTTAGACACTTAAATTCCCACATCCACAAGCAAACACATACACTACCACGTTCACACAGGAGTGAATCAGTTCAAGTAAAGGGTGTTTTATAATAACTGACGATAAATTGTTTTTGATATTTTTTATACTTTTTGTTGGCCTAGAGATCTAAAATTTTTATCATATATACATCGGATCATCATCTTTCATTTCTGAAAGTTTCAGCTTTCTAGCTAAAGCTAGTGGCAAAATGCATCGACAAGATTGAAATACATAAATTTTCGTACTGAATATAGCAAGGTAGTTCCATGGGTAGTTAACCAAAAAATCGTAAAGTATTCAGAAAATTTTCTTTCGTATTGAGCTTTGCAGAGCTTTTTTCGTTGATCATTTTGATAAAAGAAACTTTTCGAATTTTGTTGAGAAATGATAATGTTATAGACAAAATATTTATCGTAAAAACAGAAGATGTCAGATTTTTTTTTATAGGAATATCGTATACAATGTTTAATCGAGATTTATTCATCCTACTCGCCTGTATCTAAGAAACCGACTATAGGATTTTGTAGAGCAAAGTTTTCTCTACAAAACCTACTATGTTACATGTCTCCAGTGTATAGCCATTTTGAGATATGTGAATCGACTTTTATTTACATTTTACAGTGTTTAGTATATTGTCTATAACATCGTCATTTCTGAATGAAATTCGAAATTTTTTCTACCAAAATGATCAACGAAAAAAACTTTACAAAGTTTAATACGAAAGAAAATTTTCTGAATACTTTGGGATTTTTCGGTTTACTACTCACAAAACTACCTTGCACTATTTTCACAGTAAAAAAACAAAATAAAATCATTTTCAAAAATTGATGTATTTCAGTCTTGTCAATGTATTTCACCATTAGTTTTAGCTGGAAAGCTGAAACTTTCAAAAATAAAAGTTCTTCATTGGATATACATGCAATACAAATTTCAGCCCTCTACGTCAAGAAAAAGTATGAAAAATATTATTAAAAATTTATCCTCAGTTATTATGGAACAGTCTTTATGATGGATATGATTGGTAGCTTGAAAAAAACTTGTATACCGAATACATGTGATTAGCTCAACTTCAAACATGCAAACGCTGAGTGACCAAAAGCTATGCAAGGAAAACATTTTATTCTTTGAAAGTTCAACCAGAGAAAACTGATTAGCCGAAAGGTAGAAATTGAAAACATCTGATTGGAAAAACTTCTGCTACAAAAAAAATGGATTGGTCGAGAGCTGGACTGCGAAAACATCAGGTTCTATGGCACGCCAATAACAAAACCACATGATTAGGTGTGTCGGTGTGGGTATCTACGAAGAACTAATAACTGCAACATGGACATTCACATCACACTCTATTCTATGAATAGATGTATTATATCCGATTCATATCAGAGTATTGTGATATAAATCTTAGTCAAGGGAAACCAATATCGGTATGCTAACATACAATCATTGTAGTTAGTGTATCAGTGGGCAGATGTGTGAGATCTCGGTGAATAGCTTATTGAAATTACGCATAACTAAATTCACAGAGAGGTAGATTTTCTGATAGGCTTCTGACCTGGAGACTCTTAGTATTCTACTGTTTTCTAAACTGACTTTGGATCATTCTTATTTAACAAAAAGCCTACAATTCAACAGGACTTCACAGATATTTTTTGCTTATCGAATAAAGTGCTTAAGATTCAGACCCAAATTCATATACACACAGTTGACCACGAATTGCTTTTCCGATGTTTATTTTGTTGGAGTTTTGGAGTAGAGACATAAATCAATTTTTTCTAGCTGCACGAAGCAAAATTACAAAGAGATGGTAAACATTTTTCATTTATCGCTATATCTATATTAAAATATCCCAGTGTATTATCGATCTGTAAGTTTCTCAAAGCGATTCGAGAGAACAATACCATTGCAGACATGTCATAGGTTTCCCAAATATCAGAAAATTCACAGTAAAGTTTGAGAAATCAAACAATGAATAATACTAGATGTTAATCATCAAAAATAAAAAAATGATGTGATTACAAAAAACGATTTTAACGGTATTCTTCTCTTCAGCAAAATAAAATGCAACTAGTTTGAGCTTATCGTGTTTACCATCCAGTCAACTATTGAAAAAACTTTACTTTCTATTTGCGCTTTTCATTTTGTCTCATTGATATTTTCTAGTCTTTAATACTTTTATCGAAGCAAAAACATCTTTTCAGTCTGCTTAATATGGCATAATGTAAATACGTCTCTCTCATTAAGTCTTGAAAAAAAGCAATAGGTATTGTACTCTTATCGAAACTTTCTTTCATATTGTATGCAGCACAACAAACTCATGAAAGCTTTTAAAAATACGTGTCAACATTACTGTTTTCATTTTTCTAGTGCATCTAGTCAGTGGTTAAGGAGGGAGTGAAATATGGTTTTTAAGGCGCTGACGTCATGTAATACATCACTTTCAAACATTTATAGCTGGAATCTATCAATTGATGCGAATAACCACAAAGCAACACTCATCCTAATGCCTCTTATTTACTCAGGCAAGTAAATACGCTCGAGAGAGCTCCTTTGTCTATAAAAACAGCGACTGTTTTTGATCAAATGACATTTCTTCAAGGTATGACGATACAACGATTCTTAATTCCGATAGTAGTAGTACTGTAAGTAATCCTGCCATGATAAATCAGTGATGGAATACAACTTTATATTTAGATATGCTGTCTGCATTGTAACAGGTATGAGAGACTGATTTTGTTCAACCATTTAAATGGAAGTCCAATATGAGCTCATAAAGCTTATATTTACTTTTTTCTTTATTTCTGGAAATTTTCATCTTCAAAAATGTTTGCAAATGTAATCGATGCTTGTTTTTTTCATGAACTTTGTTACAGGTCAAGACACGGTTAGCACATCACTTCCTAGTTGTGGATGCTGTGCATCACCGTATTGTCAAGCAAAAAAGGTGGCATGTTCAACGAATTTCGATTGCGAATGTTTGCTGATGACAATGACGGGAGGAGGAATGTGTGCTGATACAGTTATGTCATGCAAAGATTTGGTCCCATGTGAAAATGATAATCAGACATGTTCGGTACCCAATACTGTATGTGTCAATAACACTCGATGCAACATTCCTGTTTGTTATCCAATAGACCGTGCCTCTTCCATACGGTGTCCATCGTTCACCGTAGGAAATCTAAACAATACGACCGGTAAGTTTTGCTTACTTACGATGCTAACGAATATTAAAGAATCAATTCATAGTTATGCAATCTGTTTCTTTTTTTTGCAAAATTATTTTTTGATATTGTGTTCACTTCTAGGGTGAAGTTATAGGAAAGACATAGATCTTATGGATGCATGTGACTCTCTGGAAGAATATGATGGCAAGATTTTTATCCCGAATCGGTTGGGTACTAAAAAGTCAAAAAATGTAGAATTGTATTTTTCTAAGACAAACTTTCGATTCTTACTACACTTTATCTTTAACTTCACTGCTACCAATATAAACAAGAAGGCACATCAATCTTTGTAAACAGATCTCAGAGCACGAAGAACTATTGAGAAAACTTTCTTCGTAGTACGCACAATTAGTCTAACAACTATTCATCAATCACAATAGAATCAATTCGCCTTAGTTGGCATTGCAAAGCTACACAAGCTCTAGAGAGTTCAGCTTTTCATGATCGTGTAGGGAACATCATGCAGTCAAGATGTCCGTCTTATATCCTTTTGCTTGAGAAAAAAAAATATTTGTACAGCCTTGAAAAAAGCAATTCATTTGCCAAAGATTATCGGCACCAATGAAATACACTTAAGTAATTTATGAGATAGACTTAGAATCAGTACTCCTGAGTGAAAAAGTTTCCTTGGATTATGAAAAATAACATGCACTGGTCTTGATATGCTACTCTGAATTCATGAGCAGCAGAAGCCCCAACATTTCCATATGCTTTAAGTCGTACAGATCGATACACATCGCCAAATGTACTTTTAACGTCAGATTGACGCAAATCGACTTATTAAAAATCAAAAAATGATGTAAGGCCGCTTCGGTTTCCTTCAATGCCTATGAGAATATTTCCATTGATAAAACTGTTTCGCTTGACTAATCCATACGGATCGCAAAAATGGATAGACATATCCATATGCACCAGGAAATACTGAGGAGAAAAAAGTTGAAGTCACTCGTATTGAGTTATAGTAGTCCCAACAAAATTGTAGCTCAAGTATAGTTCACATCCTATAAACACGAAACGAAAGAAACTGCACCATCTCGAGGCATTGGATAGTATGCAGGTGCAGAAGCATATACGGGTATTCTATCTATCTAGTCGTCAATCAACCACGTTTGCTACTAATTAGAATCCAATTAGTTGAAAGCTGACATGAAAGAGTTAATGTCAACAAATTCCGCAACTGCTAATTGCTTACAAATGATTCGAATCATTCTGTCCACATACTTAAGAATGATGCCCAGGGCTAGAAAAGAACTTGCACTTATACTTGCACTTCCAGGGTAATACGTGTGACAAGGTTTAACAGTCAACTACTGACCAAGAATACCTGGCTACCAATAGGACATGTTACGACCGCGACAAAAGGCCGGCAAAAAATTTCATGCCTGCAGTAGTAAACAAAAAGTTTTTTTCTAAGACTCCAAGCAGTAGCGGATCCAGCATATGATCTAGGCACCAGACTTGAAAAGCGAGAAGATGGCGTCATCGCGAAACCCAATCATATTCTAAACAACGAAAAAAAAAATTGTGTAGTTCTCTTCAGCTTAGTGCGAGCTAAGAGAATACCCACATGTATTCACACTCTCAAGTATTTGTGCATGCGTTCTCGTTCTAATACTGTCCACTATGCAGTCGTTCCATTTCAGTCAAAATCATTTTACGAAGCTAAAAAAGCTTCTACTGTAGAGGGGTGTTCATAATAAAGAAATGACCACTAGGGAGATTTTCGCTTTTAGCCAAAGTCGCTCCCTTGAATCAGAAAATGACCCATATACAGAAGTGTTCACGAGGGGAGGTTTCACTGCATAAACGATGACACTATTATGTTGCTCTTTCTTACATGAAGTTCCGAGAACGATGACAACAATGCTACCGACAACACCCGTAGCCACCACGTCACCGAGACCAACAACTTCAACAACCACGACAATTTCAACAACCACGAGAATTATCACCACAACAACGACAACCATGACAGCAACGACAACTTCAACAACCATGAGAATTATCACCACAACAACGACAACCATGACAGCAACGACAACTTCAACAACCATGAGAATTATCACAACAACAACAATAACCTACGTGCCTAGCAGTAAGTAACAAGACTCTTGGGTGATAATTCACTTCATGACTGTGTAGAGAATCGATATCACAGAGTTTAAACGACACGAT